TATCGATACTTAATTTAGGTATTAGTCACGTGGTAATATCAACAGGTCAAAGCTGTGATTCGTTGTTTTATCTACGAGTATGCGCCTTGATCCTCGATAGATCAATGAGGTGTGCAACAAAAAGAACAAGACGTTAGCTGAGATTGAAGGATCTTAGCTCAGATCAAAGAAGAACGGGAGGCTAGACAGATATAGTGGCTTAGAGCGTACCACTAAAAAAGAGGTGAACCAAAAAGAGGTTTGCTAGATATCCCTCAGTATAAATATTATACGGAGCATCCAATGATGTAGTCAATTGATGCTTATTTTCAGGTCACAGTAGCAAACCATGGGTGCAATGGGTATAAAACCATATAGAGATCAATGTCTATTTCTATTGGACAGACATGGTCCACTATAAAAGCTCTGATTGGCTGGGTGTTTTAGGCGACCATTCAGCGTGAAGCATACACTCATATAGGGGGCTCGACTTCCCGAGGTCACAACATGATCGACTATGATTTGGCATTTAAGATACTTCATGATCGAATCCATTCAAGTAAATTCATTTGTCATGTATAATAAATTGGTACTTTGCATTTCAGCTTTGGAATATAGGTCACATCTAAAAAGATGTGACCAACATTAGATGATTCCAGCAACTTCGACACATTGGTCTTTGCTAAATAGAAATAACAGTGGGCCGCTATGATTTCGGTACACTAACCGATAGTACCGAATGGTATTCAGCCGGCAGGGTTAGCCTGCCAATCACAGGCATCATTTCCTTTGCCAAAACAGTCTTGTTACAAGCTATACTCCTGCCATCGATAATCCCACCATCGGCAGGGATATTCCTCCCGATCACTTTCTCACAAGCGTGTTGGTTTGTGCGTCTTACATTTCCACTTTTCGCTTATAACTCAGCACTGACAATGAATAGCGGGGCCAAGTCGCAATGAGCCGAAGGCCATCTCTTGGTCACTCTTCGCCGTGTGAACCCCTTCCATCTGTCCAAAATGATAAGGATCCTTTCAACTACAACACAGCCGAGCTTGAGAGTACAGAGGCCTCGCCTTTGACCCCGCTTGAGTCGACATCGACAGTTTTCGGTGCATACCATCCCTGGAGCACACCTCGAGTTTCCGGGGAACAGCCAATGAACGCCAAAGTGGCCATTCCCCGACTCGACCTTCCACTTGCAAGCAATAACGGTCGAGTTAGTCAAGCATGTCACAATTGTCGCAAACAGAAGAACAAATGTTCTGGTCATCGCCCTTCTTGCCTCCGGTGTCAGGAGACCAACGTTCTTTGCGTCTACGTCGACGGGAAACGAGAGAGAAACGCTAGGTCTGAAGTTCTCCTAGATATGGTCGCCCAAAATATTTACCCAAGAAGTTAGAAAACTTACAGTTATAACGACCCAACTCCAACACTACGAAGCTCTCGTGCGCGAGATTTATCCCAAATTCGACACCGAGCTGGCCAAAATCGTCGATCAAGCCCTCGGAAAAGTGAGTGAAGACCCCATGGTCCAGCCAACCGAGATTAGACCTCTTGGCCAATCTAACAAACTACAGATATCTAGCCTTTCCCTGTCATCGCCGACCGTCGCCAAAACACCAGATGAGGCAGACTCGTCAACCCGAACGCCTTTCTACGTGGATCACACTGAGGAGGACTTTAATGGGGACATTTCACTGCAAGCCATTGGGTTTGTAGGAGAGCATTCGGCAACAGCATGGTTATACAGGCTTAAGTGCTTGATCGGTCAGACAAGTTCCAATCTGGACAGCCAATTCGAGGAGTTATCCCGTCCATCAATGTCTTCCTGTGCATTCTTTATGGATGACACCGCAATCCCGCCAATAAACGATATAGATGTCCTCGCATATCCCTCACAAGAGGCCGCCGATGAACTTGTGGACAGATACTTCCAAGTTGCGCACGCCTCCTTCCCCGTCGTCGGCAAAGAAATCTTTCTAAGCCAGTGTCGATCATTCTATTCGAACTCAACGACATACCCCGGAAACAAATGGATGGCGCTATTGAATATGGTGTTTGCGATCGCTGCAAGACATTCCGAGCTTTCCGGAGATCAATCTCGGCTAGACCACAACATCCACGCGGTGTACTTTTCCCGTGCCTGGCGATTACACACTAGGGACACTGTGTTATTGGAGAATCCCAACCTGCAGCAGACACAGGTAGAGGGGCTAATATCACTTTACTTGCTGTCCATTGGACAGGCCAATAGGTAGGTCGAATACTACGAGTCTCTACTTTAGCCACTGATTTTGGTTTAGGGCATGGAGAAAATGTGGTATTGCGATCCAGTCGGCGGTCGCGATGGGAATCCACCTTCGTAGCGAAAGCCCCGGCATCACCCACGTGTCTAAAGAAACAAGATATCGGCTATGGTGGGCGCTATACCTGTTGGACATTCTGCTCAGTGTCATTACTGGACGCATGCCCAGAATGCAGCAGGAACACTGCACGACCCCTTTGCCGGTGCCTTACAAGGAAGAAGACTTCAGGGATGAGCATGTGACGAAGCTTATCTTGGATATTCAATCCAGAGACCGCCTCATGGCTTCTCTGCTCTCCTTCGATCCTTCGACTGAACCGAACGACCCTTTAGCCAATTCGCCTTCTCCACAGTCCATGTCCCAATCTGCCTCACCCAGCCAGCAGCTCCAGGCTAACGTCTCATGGTACTTACTTTATTCCATTGACCTGGCAGCTGTGATGAGAGAAGCAATTGAGATTTTGTATTCCCCTGAAGCGGGACGAAGACCTCGGAGTGACACCGAACTGGCCATGACATCGCTCAATAGTGCCGCTGACAATTGGTTTGCGCGGCTCCCTACGACTTATCGTTTTGCAGAGGCCAGAGATGACCGAGCCTTTGTCCGTCAGCGCACGAGTTTGGCTTTCCAATATTATTCGACTAAGCTTGTCATTTCGCAACCTGCCCTTCGTTCTCATATATCCGGTGAAGACCCTTCCACTGGCCTTTACACCCCAATGGCAATCATTTGCCTCAATTCAGCTGGCCAAATGCTTGATCTCTTACCCGATGAACCAAACATCTCCTGGCTCTTGGGTTGCTCACCTTGGTGGTGTGCTCTCCATTACCTCACGCAAAGCACCGTAGTGCTCATAACGCAGCTGCTCACCCAGAATCAAGCGAGGGCTAGTGAAAGAAACGAGTCATTGGAAAGAGTCCAAAAGGCTCTGCGATGGTTGAGTGAGTGTTCCACCAAGGATCCATCTGTCAAGCGGGCTTGGGGTCACTTTACGGAGCTCTTGTCATCACAAGGATTGAAAGTTTTAGAATAAGATCTCTCGTCCGGCTGCCACATCCCTGGCCCTCGTAGGTCCCTTTCCCTTTGTTTACTTCACATATCCAACAAGAAGTATTACTGATTTCCTCTGCATCACCCGGCGTATCATCCCTCTAATTTAGACGAATCTATATATGAGCCCAAACCGGCAAGTTAGAGTGCGATGTTTTCCTGCTTACACATCTTACCTAATATATCACCTTAAAGCGGATGTAAACCAGCCACTCTCTGAATAGGAAGTCGCCGATTGATGTATTCAAGGGTACGCGTCACGGCAATGATCCTTGGAACTCAGATAATGATCAACAAGGCAATGCCCAAATATTGTCCATCCAAATAATGGTTTAAATACCCACTTCCAAGGTGGAGAACAGGCAGTCTTAAAATAGATTGGCCCAATTCAAAAGTATAGATGTAATGATAGTTGCCTGTACAAAGCATGTTGTGTATGGAACACCCGGAGTTCCCATGCAATGAATGACGTCAACGTTCTTGGCTTAAACCGGCCTATATAGTCACGCCTGATCACAGATAGTGTATTGATACTAATTCTCTCTCTCTCTCTCTCTCTATAGCGAAAAAGCATATACAGATCATTATACATGTCTGATAAAATGGCCCCAAAATACATAGTAAATGCCCATCCCCTTCTTCCCCAGTGAACCCTACTAACAAATAAGGTAACCTTCCAAGACTCAGCTGCGACCGAGCAAATCAATTCCTACATGCATCAAATCCAGGAAGAAGGTGGCACTGTCATAAACCGATTTCCGGATATGATTGCGAGAGGATTTTCGTATGTGCCCTTCCACCGAGTCTAAGACTTAACGGGGATTCTTACTGATTTATGTTCTAGAGCACATATAACAGATTCAGTCCTTCATAGGCTGGAATCCGACTCTATCATTGATCATATTACACCCGATGCTTCTTGAACTTGTCCTTGTTCATCCCCTCTGTGATACCTGTGTAGCTTAGCATATCCCCCCTTCTCCTTCATGTATCTTAACGTACCTAATGACATGATTTATACAACTGGACCACTTAGCTACTTGCTGAATTTACTATGAGCCACGATTGAAGTCAATATGGATGTCATTCCAAGGCTCAGGTTTGATCCTTGGAACAAAGGGAACCACTCCGCCCTACTGAGCCATAATCTGGGAGGCCCGGGTAGCTGATCATGGATCAATATGCCACGTCGGGCTAGCTTGGAGTAGGATGTTAAAGTAGGCCACGGGCGTATTCGATAGTGTCATTCTATGGGTGTTCTAAATGGGGCTCTGTTGGTCGGGGGCTCAGGTGCAACTCGCGGGTGAGAGCTAGGTTCGTATTTCTCAGCCTTGGTCAAGAATATCTGATCAAGGGAAAGTAAAGGATAAAATAAAGCAGCGCAATTGACGAAAGGCGAATCGAAGTGGTTTGGTTGATGGGTAGACCAATATATCTATCAAAAACAGGACCGTCAAGGCATATCGAATAACTCTAAGAATACTTCGCATAGAAAAAAAATCAAAGTGTGATGTGTCAAAAGACCAAGATGAAGATAATAAATAAAGAAAAAGAAAGAAAAAGAAAGAAAAAGAAAGAAAAAGAAAGAAAAAGAAAGGAAAGGAAAGGAAAGGAAAGGAAGGTGTACATTGAGCACAAACCTGCTCTACTTCCACACGTCCGTCACAACATCATATCCCAATAATCCCAATTAATATCGTAATCAGCCAAAAACGGAGGCTGAAACGTGAACTGAGAATTGAGAGCCCAAAACTCGGTAGGCGGATCAAAGCTCAAGCCGGGATCCGCCCATTGGGCAGTTTCCGCAACCTGCTCGTTTGCATAACCGGGGTCTGGGATCGTGCCTATCCATGAGGATGATGGGTAGTATTGCCCTAGATTAGTGCTGGACATAGTTGGCCGCGGCGTACTAACCACAGCGATATTTCTAGTTGAATGATCGAGGATGACACGACGTTCGAGGTATATCGTGCCGAAATAAGGGATATCAAGCTTGATGCGACTAGGCTTTCCATTCTCGTATTGGTTTCCTTCAGATTCGTCAAGTGGCGGGGGTTCGGTCCCCATGCCTATCGCCTTGATAAGCTTCAAAACGTGCAACGAGCGAGTTGCAATTTTGTCTGGAGGAACGTTCTTTGATAGTTGCTCTAGAATAGCCACAACCCGGTCGAGAGCTAGGTAATCCTCCTTGGTGAAGTCATGTGTGCTAGATGGTCTGAGTGCATTGATAATGATTGTCATTGCCGCAGTGAAGGCTTGGAAATCGGTAATCCTCGAGTCAAAGCCGTTTTCGGTAGTGCGTCGGATATTGACATAGCAAGCGATGATGTTGCGGCAGGCGTGGAGACATGTTTGCCGATTATAATAATAGGAATCGTCAGTACCTGACGCTAGGAGGAGAGGCAGGTGTAACCAGGCCATGAGTTGGTAGTACCATAACCGAAAGTAAAGGTTTCGGAAACACAAGGACTGCTCGGTACTCTTGCCTGGCGGAACATTTTCGGGTGAGGCCAAAGAAGGGGAAGTGAACGCTTGAAGTTTCAGATCGATGCTCTGGGTCATCTGCAGCATGGCCGGAGTGACTTCTGTGAAGATCTGATTGCGCTCAATGATTGATCCGGCTATCCGAGTAAGCAGATTCATAACGGATTCATGGTAGGGAGGTGAATCTTGAGAGTCGCTTGGGTTGGATTGATATTGATCTATTGCTGTATTGGATATAGATCCATGCACCCCAAGGATCAGTGCAAAATTCCTGTCAACTATGAGAATATGTCTCCAAATGAATGTAGCCCGATGTTGATACTCGGCACTTTCATTGGGAGCTGGTTCAGCACGGTGGAACCCGATTAGCTGAGCGATGTTGGCAGCCCGACAATTACAGAGCCATGCACTTCGTAGCTTCCCACTGTTGCTAAAGATCAACCCTTGCAGAATCAAGCACTCAAGCCCGTCAATACAACTGACAATAGAGTCATCAGAGCAGACGAACGTAGAAACACGGGTGACGCATTCTTCAACTAGGACCCATGGTAGACAGGGAAGCTCGAGAGAGGGCAAATCAAACCCCGAAGGGAGTTGTTGGAGACACAGTGCAATCCACAAGATCGCCTTACCAACCGCGGTTGGGTGGCGCTGTGAAAGCTCTTGCACCGAGGACGAAAGCAATGTTTTATCGTGGTCGTCGAATACCTGTACGCGCATGAGCCACCAGCTACTGCTAGCCTCTGATATAATTTTCAATGTCTTCTTGGAAGGCAGCAAGGCTAAAAGTTCGCGGCGCAGTCTCCCCCAGTCGCGGTTGGTCGTGCCATATGATGTGAAATCGGACGCAACGGTGTCTGATCGTTGGAAACCTAGCTGATCACTAGTCAGCACAAGCCAACGGGAGTTGCACATCCCCTAATGCAAGGTATCACACGAACCGCTTCATTGTCAAAAAGAGACAGAACTGGAGCATTACCTGCAGCTGGTGTCGCGGTCGCTGGTGTCACGATCGGGGGACTCGATTCGGGACTGGCTTCAACTGAATCTAGGAGTGATTTCGAATCTCGCTGTTGACTGCCCCCACCGTCGACTCGTATCAGAAGCTTTTCCAACAAGGTCTCCACCCGAGCCATCCGCTCGTTCAGATATGTACGATCCGACTCGCGGGGATTCTCAGGCTCCGGGAATTCTTGGCTGCGACATAGAAGTCCCCGGGCGAGACATTCTTTGCAGCTCTGGTCGCTATCAGAGGCAAAATTGCAGCGGACTTTGCGATGTTTGCCTATGTATATAGAAAAATGCTGTTAGGGATAAATCATCCGCTTAGATGCAGGGGCTCTTGTACATTGCCAGCAACTGTGGGTCCCCTTTCGGATCTTCTTCCGAGGCTGATCCCCAGGCTGCGCCTGTGGATCGTGGATCGATTGCATCTCGGATGGGAGAATGTCTCACTATTCAGATAAAACACAAATGGTAAGAATTCGGAATTAAAATTTATTCTCACATCAGTTGTGCAATCGAGGATCGAGGGGAAGCCGGGCGCCCAGGTACCCGTCAAACAAAGCCCCAAACCTGATCGAGTTAACGCTGTCTGACCGCTTATCTACAACTGTAAGAATAATGAATTCAATGCATCTCACTGTCTTCATCGTCCCTTTTCGTAATTCACTCCGAAAAGGTCTGGTTTAACCATGACGCCATCACCTTGAACTGCAATCCAGGGGGTAACTTCAATGCGAAGTCCGTGATTGGTTCAACGTGGAAGTCTCGAGGCACAATGCTAATGCTCACGTCAGGGAGTTCAGCCTGATGATGACAAACTGTTAGATAGGAACGAATTTTGGGAGGACCACCTCACCTTCATCTTCTTGGCCGTCTCCCTTACCGGATCCAACAGGACTTCGTCTCCTCCCGCGCCAACAAAGATTCTTGAAACGGGAAGGTCTCTCCACCAGCCCGCTGGGGCTTTGGCGGGGCAGTTGTACTCATCTTCCACGGTTTGACCCAGAAATATCTGTGCCCAGCTATTCAAAGTCTGAGCCGAAACAATGTCTCTGTCCGCATTTCCTCTGGAGCTCGCATGATTGATTCCGAAGTCAACCCAAGGGGACAACAACATCGTCTTTCTGAGGGGTTCATCGACCAAAAATCTTGCCACGATCTCTTGAGGATGTGGGTGAACGAGATGTGATAGTAGCGCAAGTGCAAGATGAGCGCCCGCCGAGTCCCCTTGAAGAACAATGTCTGAGGGTCGTTATCCTAGTGTCTCGATGGCATACCGTAGGACTATAACGGCCTGTTGCAACTGACGAGGCCATTGGGCTCGGAGGACAAGTTCATAGGCAAGGAATAGCGCACCGATATTATTCCAACACTGTGTTATGTCTGCGGAGAGAGCTTCGAGGTGGGTAAAGTGGTTTGGTAGAGCGGGGAGGCAGTAGGCGCCACCGGGAAAGTAGATGATCAACTTTTCAGCGGCAGGATTACCCAGCCAGAATGTCGTTGTGCCTTTAGGAACGAGTATGTTGGGTGGGGCCTTTTGTTGGCTCATGTGGGCCTCGTAACCTTTCTGAGGAGAAGCGGGGGTAAGAATAACTCTGCGAGGTGTTGTTCGAATTATTTCTTTGTCGGGTCATGCATGGGCTTTGGATATATTTGAGTATTCTCGATGAGTTCTCGGATCTAAACCCACTGGATCTGCTCCATAGATGCATATCGAAAGAGGGCAGGGGTAAAAGACTGTGCAATATGCTTGTAAGTTGTGGCGCCTCCCTTTTGACCGCGGAATGGAGCAATGATGGCAGCCCATATTGCAATGGCAACTAGATATGTAAGTTGCATGAGGCGACATGTTTGTCGAATTCAGGGATCCCTCATTGGTAACTTACCGGATTTGACCACTGCAATCCCCAGACCTAACGCCAAGGGAGCCATGGGACGCGATGATACGTGGATGATTTCGAAATTAATCGGAGAATATCGGGCGCAGACAAATATCGCAATCTAAGAGCCCGGATTTTCAGAAAGAAAAAAGACGTTCTGTTGTGTTGCGGTGCAGGGAGCTTTGAGTATAGTGTGACAGATCCGCCGACTCGGCGGAAGAAAGCCTCACCTTGGACCAATCGGCCAAACTTTGCTCTCTAGGGTTCAGGGTGCGCAAAAGCAAAAGCAGTAGAATGAAAAAGAGAGAGATAGTTATCTTGGCATGATAAATTAATGGGAAGTTGACGGAAAGTGGGAAGTTGGGATCTGAAAGTGGAAGGGGACGGTCCCAGGTAGTGGAAGGCTGTCCTAAGGCCTGTGTGGCAGATAACCCCCGGGGCCAACTAAATTATCTTGTCCAGATGGTATGTGAATTTGAGGTAAGCATGCATTGGCTTTTTAATGGTTTGGCCATTTTTGAAATTAACATGTGTCTGTTAAGTCTTATGAAGCATCCTAACTAGAGCTGCCCTTCCATATTCTTGATCAGTTATAGTTATTTTCAATATTTTGATTAAGAATAAAACCAGTAGGTAATGGCAGATAGCAAAGGAGTACCTGAGTTGCAGATATTGCGGTCATTCTAATGGGGTCTATAGGGGTAATTAATTTGAAGAGAGCAGAAGAGGCAGAACTAGTATGTAAAGCCCTGGAGAGATGACTGGATTACCCAATGAAGAGAAATTTACAAGAATCTCACGGAGTTAGAAAAGTATCAAAGCACTAGATGCACATTTTGACATGGCGAACAAAGACAGACAAGAGTAAAATACAAATAGCAAGAACAGTGATATACAGGTTGACCCATCATACACGCCCAACTCATGGGGACCATTGAGCCCGAACTTTCTTTCCTTTAGTCTCTTCACCCCAGTCCATCCTACGCTTCCTCGATTCGATGTTTCGGAGGCGGCGCGAGGTCGACCTTGTACTACGAGCCGAAGGACTTTGAGTCGGGCTGTAAGTCGGAACAATATTCTCAATCTCCTCAATAGCAAACTGCAACTGCAATGCTTCAAACGAATCATAGATTCTGATCCGTGAAATTCGGCGAGTTCCACGCTTAAAGGCCCCCAAAACCAAATGTGCCACAGTCTGTCCAAGTTTGGTCCCTAGCAGCGCCTCAAATTCCGGAGTTCCAGATACCCAATCACGTATTTGCTCATCCGGCCAAGCGAGGCCATTGTATTCGGTATAAAGCTCGTCCCTGACAAACGAACGGGTATCCTTATTGCAAACATCAAGCAGATAGACATACTTCAAGGTATCAATCGGGAAGTGGTTCTGGTAAATGGCCTGGCAGACTTCCGACATGTATACACCCTTTGTTCTCTTTATTTCTTCAACAATTAACACCCCAGGCGCAATTAGCCCTTCCCAGGTACTGATCTCCGGGTGTTCAGGGTTTAGTGGAGCGTCAGATTCAGCCATGTGGATCTTTTCCCACGCCCCACCGGTTGGTCCCATTATTTCGAGGTCTCCAAATTCGTGTTCAATCTGGAGTGGAAGATAAGCAGGTGTGTCCGTGTCTATTTCAAGTTGCTTGAACTTCTCAAGGTCTTTAAATTTCAGCTTAGAAGGTAGAATTGGACATAATTGCGCAGACGGGTCGGTTTCTGGGCATTCTATCCATTGCTGTAGTAATCGGCCAACGGCTTGCCGCCTCCCGTATTTGAGAGTGGGAGGTAGCATTGGAGAGAAGTTAGAGACTCCAAATTGGCATTGGTATGAAGTTTGTTGTAAAAAAGGTGATATCAATCCAAGGCCATGAAGGAGCATTGTAGGTTTCTGTGTGTCAAATTTCGTTGGTCAAGGCAAAGTTGATGGATATTAGGAACTTATAGATGCTACGCTTCGCACTAATATTTGGCCTTTCCACTGAGCGCCATCAATAGACAATGAAAAAAAGAGATGGGCTCGAAAGAATCGTCGAAATCAAAGGGCTAAATTTAAACCATGCAGTGTTTAAAGAGATACTAGCTGTTTTATTGAACTCGAGTGTAGGCTTTTGATCATACCTAAATAGTAACATATGCCTTCAAAGACTGATACAATGGACACTCCAATGTCTTTGACATTTTGTGAGCCATGTGGATGGGAGTCCATGGTTTCTATCCTCGACAATAAAGAGAGTCGAAAGTGTAAGCAATGCCAGGGCCCCAAAATAAAATATGAGAACAATGAAGGTCAAGACTGAGGACGGGCCAAAGCCACATTATTAGCTACTATAATGAGAATAGATTTTCATGAACCCACAGTTACGATATGTTACCCCATTAGTACAACACTCATCAACATCGAGATTTCCAGAACATCCTCAGATGGTAGTGACTGAAGAATTTATGGTTAGCGTGATAACCCTTGAAAATACGGTTCATTGTCCAATACCGGTAGTCATCTTCAGAGCCTGATAATAGTACTCGATTCTTTGTCCGTTTTGTCATTGCTTTCGACTACTATACTACATTTTATATTTATCCCAAAGCACCATGGCTAATATTATTGAAGAACAAGATCGAAAAAAGTACTTCTGCGCAGATGTTGTAGAGCTGAGCGCCAATTTTTAGCCTCCCCTGCTCATGCTAGGTAATCACGTTCTCCCACTCGCACCATCTTCCACGCCGCCCGATGCACCTATAAACAATATCTTAATGACCCCGGGGCCCAGTACTTAGCCTGAGGTTGAGCGTATCCGGGCCCCATCCACACTACATAATGTCTGCCACCGGGTTGGCACCATGATCCTACTATTCGTCGAGGATAGGCTGGACTCTGGTCGCTAACGTTTGAGCGCCGAGAAAATAACAAGAAACGTGTTGTCCTGCTTATAGGTACGGCTTCGAATTCATGGAAAATTCGCTTCAATATTAATATGGCATTTTTACTCCGTACAGATCAGGACTGGGGATTTAGTACACTAAGTACGGGCACCGGCGTGCTAAACTTTGCCAGGCACACCAGCTAGGGTTGCCAGTGGACAGCTCCAACATCAATATTATTAGCCTATGCCCATACCCCGGACCGTTCTACAGAATGAAAGCTAATGTCGAGGACTGCTGGAAATCAACCGATCCCGGTTCGGCTCCAGCTTCCGCTTTTGGGATGCCTACGTCTTTATATACAACATATACAACGACACCAGAATTTTGAGACACTGCTGTGGAATTGTTGGGCCTATTAATGGGCTATATTACAAGAATAGGGGCAGGCGCTGGGTTATGTGGTGTTCTTGTTGCTTTGGCACTCGGATGAATTTGCCGCTTCCAGATAAGGATATTACGACATAACTAGGATTTAGGCGAAGTTTTATTTATTCCAAGCTAGGTTAGAACCGTTATTCAACCATCTGGATGAAAATAATGGTCTAAATCCGAGAAGAGAATCAGATGAACTAGTAGAGGTAATGATACGATAGCCCTGAATCATTGGCGATTTATAGGCGCAACATACGACATCATAATACGTTGTTTTATTTATTTTAATTAATATGTCGTTTATTTATTTTATCTCATATTGGACATTTCAACCGAACGCTTACACCTACGTATTCTCGACCTCGGAATACCACCGGAGAGGTATAGAACTGGCTGGTATTCCTTCGTCTTATGATAGGTAGTTATGGGAAAGCATTCACGTGTCTACATAGCGAGCAGAACGAACGTCATTCCACCTCATCTCTCATCCATCCCACGTGCAATTCCCCGCCAAGCCATCTTAGCTTGGCGGACGACTGGGGTTGGCTGGACTGGCTTGGCATTCCGTCCCCTCGACTTGGCAAGGAGGTTCAAGCTTCCCAGGGAAACTCCAGGATTACGCACGTGCAGATCCTCCTTGTTTCTTATTCGTTCCCATAGAGAACATGTAATATGTAGGAATACCACACACTTGAGGCACTGGGATATTTCGGAGATTTGTGTCTTCGATATTACTATAGGTTATCTTGGCGGGAGGCTCTTGGCAGGATGCTCGCTTGCAATTAGCTCCAAAGCTCATTGTACTTAACGGAGGTGCTTTCGCTCTAAATGTAACTCGTTTCATCACAATCGGCTTATCAAGATGCGCGCCTCTTCAATTTCCGCGCTGGCATGTTTTGTCGCGTTCACGGCTGCCCAGACATTCCAGCGCCTGGGTGGTTGTCCTGATTTGGGATGTATCTTCCCGCCGGATCAGTACGTAATGTTTCAATTGCGCCTAATTCCTACTTTCTAATCACTCTTTGCAGAGTTGACTTCCTAGCCGGTCAGTACTTCGACATCCGCCTCGAAGTACACTCCCCCGTCAATGGTTCTGAAGCTCGTGTTGGAGAGCCGGACGAGAACTTTACCTTCACCATCGCAAAGAAGGGCAATGGAAAGGGCAAGGGCAGTGCCCCTGTCACTGCAACGGAATACTTCAACATTGATGAACCTAAGCTAGAGAGGTGGGACTTCACATGGTTTGAAGGTAATAGCTTCCTATCATTCACTTCTTGGGGAGCACAAAAGCTAACAGAAGCAGATCGCTTCGCCGAGGACGCCGACAAACCTTCCCTCGTAAATGTGACTTCGAAGATCTACAGGAGAATCGCCC